CGAAGCACCTGGTCGCCCGCGGCGAGCTGGACAGGACCATCGCCGAGACTGAGGCGGCCTACGGCAAGGTACCCCCGCCTGGGGCTCCAGCACTCCCCACGGATCCCGTAACGGGGAGGTTGGGGTTTGGTTTGGTGCTGTTTGAGCTGGGGGAAGATGAGCCCAGCGGTGCCGGAGGGTGCAGGTAGACCCCGGCTCAGAGCTTGCCCAGCCGCGAGTGCCACTGAGCCCCGCTCCGGGGGATAACGAGGGGAGGCCGAGTTAAAGCACGTTGTCAAAACACATCAAAAGGGTCCTTGGAATGGACCCCAAAGAAAGAGCATCTCAGAAACCATCATTTTGGGGGGAAGGAGAAAACCGGAGACACTGACCCAGAAGACCATGAATTCACGCAGGTAACAACAAACTGATGCCAGAGCTGTTGGGCTGTTAGACACGCTTTTTGTTCAGCTTTTCATGTCATTTCGTCCATCATGAATGGAATAAACATCATTTATAAGTTGGACCAGCGAAGGGGTGGGAAGGAGATGAACAGCACAAGGGCCATTACTCTTATTTTGGTTCCTGGGATGGCTCAATCCCTTCACCTTTCCTGTATTTGTAAAGTCTGCCAGGCAGGGACTGCTTGATCCTGCACCTATGGGAACAGCCTAACTCACATCTGAATTACACACACATCAGCTTTTTAAGAAAATTAAAGGAACTTTCCAGCCCGCTTTCAGATAAGCAATGATCTTCCCTCTTCATAACAAGGGTTCAAGAGCACCCTTCCCCTGTTGCCACTGCCTGCCATGTGTTTTTGTTTTAAATAAGGTTACCACTCTCTATTGGATCCTCTTCATCTCCCAAAGTCAGTACTTTCCAGTGACAATTATTTTTCACATGTTTCCTCAGCCTACTTCAAGAGCTGATGGTTGGGACGAAGCAGGGAACTTGCATAAAAACAGAACAGCTTGGAAATTGTGTTGTAAAGCTCCATGAAGGGACAGCACCTTTTAAAAGAAACCTTCCCTGAGAGAGAAGGCACAGCCCCCCAGCCTACAAATGAATTCATGTTTATTGAAATTAAGACAGTCACAGCAGGTAAAAGCAGAGGTGTTTGGGAGAGGAGGTGCAGATTACCCGTTACACAGCACTGGTGTCTCATCCTGCAGGGCACTTACTTCAGCTCTTCTCTGACCACTCAGTGATTTCCACAGGTTCCTCAGATGTAAATGAGCTCTGGGACTACAACCCTGCTATCACATTTTGTTGCCGTTGTCCACCACGTTAAAACTTTTAAAATGATGAGATGGGCAGGCAGCAAGATCTCCTAAACCTGATGTGCCCTTGTTTTCTAGTGCATAGTACGTGGGAGTGTTAGATTATATACAATACAAGCTAAAAATAGGAGAAAATTAATAAGAGATTTAGTCTGACTTAAGGTCATTGCAGAGTTGATTTAGTCCTTAAGCAAGAAACCTGAAGTGTGCAGTTTTAACAGTGGAAGACGACTGAGGCGGGGTCAGCTGAGCACAACTGAATACTGAGCTGAAAAGCCCAGGTATCAACATCTCCCTTAACAACAAACTGAAGTTCACCCCACAGCCTGCTGCAGGAACTTCCCTGCCTCGTGCTCCCAGACAGGTAAATCCCTCGAGGTGTTTAATAGTCAGAGTATGAGCACAAACCAGAGAGATTACTTCAGAGATGTTCCTGCAGTGAGATAGGGCGATGCATCACTGAGAACGAGATATTGTAAGGGCTGGAGAATCCCTCTTGCTGCAAGGTAGATCAGTTGAATTTGAAGGGAACTCATCAGAGAGATGGTTTATGTAAAAGTAAACTATTTGTATTTCTTTCTTTCCCAGATTCTGGAGAGCTCTCAGACATTGCTGGATGTCCTGAAGGGAGAAACCAGGAGTGCTGGTAAAGCCAGTGAGCCACAAAGCACTTCAAAAGAAAAAGGAAAACAAGCACATGGGCAAAAGCGCTCCTAAAGTTGCTTTTCAACATAGAAAGTCCTCTTGGGTTGGGGCAGCTGCTGTTCTGGTACAAGGATGCCACACTTAATTAAAGTCTCGGTCTTGCAGGAGTAAATTTTTCTTTCAGATGCACTTTGGTATTAATTAGAGATCTAATAAAGTTAATCTTTATATGCTAGGGATCAGGGTATGAAAAAGAAATCCCCTTTATTTGAGCACAGTGCCACCACAGCACATCCACAGAGGTGACCGACCAGCTGATGCTGCTGTCCTCAGCACAGCACTCACCTCACTGTGCCCCAAACGAGCGCAGGGTTCATCTGGTGCAGACGGGGATTAGAGCACAAAGCCGGGATGTGCAAAGGCAGCACTGGGCAAGGTGTAAATCACAGCTGCGGGGCACAGCAGGCAAACGGGAAGGAGGTCAGCAGCACAGCAGGGCACCACCTGCTCCTCCTGAGCAATACATTGCACCCACGCCTGCAGCGAGCCCGTCCTCGCCCGAGAGGTTGTGGGCACGGAGCTCATTCACCCAGGGCAGCAGAGCTTCAGCTGGCTGGAGTCAGTGGAACAGGCTGCAGGATGTTGCTGGCTTCAGCATTTCTCATTGATCCACAGCAGGACAGGGCCAGGACTAGTTCAGACACCTCATCCCTAACTCTTAATTGCAAGCAGCTTTACCACCTGCAGCTTTTTTAAGTTACAAATCTAAAGATGGGGGTGCCTTCAACTGGCCTGAGCTTTTCCACAGTGCAAGATGCTCACTGGGACTTTCTCTGCTAGAAAAGCTGCGCAGAAGCTTTTCTTCAAAGGTCCCTGACCTCCTTTGGCTGTGCACAGCTACTGGCTGTGGGCACTGCTCAGTGGTTACTCCACATATCTGATAACTTATCCCTTAAATCCAGCAGTCCTGCACTTTTCCTCATTCTACCTCAGTCCCAGCATCTCATCCTGTGGAATTTCATTAATATGAGAAGCCCAGCACATGGGATCCACTGCTCTCCCCATGGTCCTTGTGTTGTGTCAGGGGCAGATGCGCTCCCAGCCGCACTCTGCTCCTGGGAGGTTCCCTCGAGCAGATCTTGAGTTCGCTTGAAAAGGAGAAGCCTCAGAAGTGTGAGGAGGTAGAAAATTTTCCTTTGTGGCCCCTTCAGCCAACATCTAACAAAACACTGAGTATCTAATTATTTTTATTATCTTTCCAGAAATATTTAGGCACCTAGGGCAGAAGAAGAGAACAGCTAGAAGTAGGTATGGCCTAACATTTACTCCCGACTGTATTTTTCAACAGAACAACCTTCCTCCTGCTGCTAAAACATACACCAAAACAAGTGCAGGGTATGCAGAGCATTTTCAGTCCACAGACCAGTCACCTTGACTAGACATTCACCATCTACACAACAGACAAACCAATAAAAGTATTACATTTAATCCAAGATACCAGCCCGTTCCTTTGGATAGAGCCACACGCTGGGGTACCACTCGTTTCATAAAGCCCAAAGAGGCCGTTTCTATTCCAACCGCATCTCTTTTAATCCCAGAAGTACAAATCACATTAGCAGCAGTGTTCTGTCTTTTCCAGAGTGCAATTTTGACCCTGAGTTTACAGTAGTAGAAAACTTAAATGGAAGAGTCTAGCAGATTCCTTTGCATATTGGCTGCATTAAACAATTAAAATAGAACTATAAAAATCCTAGAAAAAAAAAATACCATATTCCTTGTTCAAGTTCTGCAGAAGAAAGGAGTGAAGTGGCCCTCCTGTGCTTTGCGTTAGAGGAGCGGAGCAGGCACGGCGAGAAGGAAGCCTCCCCGCCAACCAAGACAGACCAATCTTGGCCCTGTAGATGCTGGGACAAAGCAAGAGGGTGAACTGGCAAACCAAAGCACAACCAGCAGCTACTGGAAACTGGATGCCAGAGCTGGGTATGGGCAGATCAAAGCTATGGCCAACGTTTGGGAATCCTCAAGAGTCTCAAGTCAATCTGGACCCTTCTTTACAGATCAGCACAAAAACAACACCTAAAGCTAACAGCATTTATTCCCCTCCCTATCCCCTACACGGTGTGTTCAGCTTCCTTCACAAAAACCTAACTGGCACGTAACCCCCTTGATGGTTCAGTGAAACCAGACCCAGCAAACCATGAACCTCCAGCAGTTTTCCCTCACTGACACCCAACCTTGCTGTCAAATCACAACCACTCCTGTGAATCCTGCTCACTGCCCAGATCTTCCCAGTGCTCCGGCTCCAGAACCATTCTTCACTGGGGCCTCTGATGGGAGAAGCGTTACAAAACCTGTCCAGACCCCGCACAGTGCCTGGATGAGTGGAGAGAGTCTACACCCATCCTGGGATTACCAATCTGTTCTTAAGCTGCTTGCCCAATTGGCAGCTGATCTTGAACAAGGAATATGCAAGGCCACAGGTAGAATAAATCATATGCCTTAAAAGTAGTAGTTCGGTCCCAGAATCCAGTGCAAATATTCTCCAAAGATGCCCAATGGCATCCAGTCCACCCTTGGCATCAGGATCCAATGAAAACTGTGGTGAGGGAGGGACCCAGAAGCTGATTTCAGCGGTGCTTGCGTGGACATTGAGAAGGTGCACTGCCACATTTTGTCCAGCAGCTGCTGCTGCAGGCTGGAAGATGAAGCAATCAGAAATACAGAGCAGGCTCGCTGCTGAAATCGGAGAGTCCGCCCTTCTCTGCCGGAGTGAGCTGTGGAGAGAGCAGAGTTGACACGGAGGTGTCATCAAGTCCAAAGCAAATGAATACCCACACCTTCAGGTGATGAAGGCTGCACTGGCACCTTGCCTGGGGCTAACGAGCGCATTTAATTCCCCCTTCCAAATGTGCCCGGGAGTACAAAGCTGCCTTAAATCTCCTGTACACATCCAGGGAGACCAGGTCTGCTAGTGGCAATGGGACCTTGTGTTGGTCCCTTTGAGTGGTGGGCCAGCAAACACACACACAGGTCCCATCCTGTCCCATCCACTGTCCAGACCAACCCCACCACAGAAGGACAAAGCCAAGTTTGGCCTATTTGAAGTCTCACCATGACTTGGTTCCCCTGGGAATCGGCTTCCTTTGGGAGGGATCCCTCTGCAGCAGGCATCTCCTCATACTTCTGCTCCTGCCACTCGCTGAACTTCACGGAGTGCTTTGGGGTGTAGCTGGATAGGTCTGCAAGAAGGATAAAGCTGATGTAAGTATTTCTCACCACCCCAAAAGGAAGCAGGGCCAGCACACTGGCAGGGACAGCACAGCTGCCCATCTGCAGTTCCCTGTTGTGGTCCAAGCCCCGTCCCCACTAAGCCCCAGTTCTGCCATCAGCTGGCAGAAGTCACCTCCAGTAGCATCTCCACCTGTCTGGAGCCCCATCAGGGGCTGTAGGAAAGGTGGACAGGGTCAGACACCACCATTAACCCCACAGTGCCTCGCTCACCTGAGTTAGGTGTACTGGGAGGCAAAGTGCTATTTGGGCGTGGAATGTAAAAGGTGGAAGATCTGTCCTCCTCTGCTTCAGAAACGTGTCCTTCCTCTTCCTCCTCCTCTTCTTCTGCCAGGGAGCTTTCTGATGGGTACTCAAACATAGTCTGCAGACTGGTCTCATTGAAAGAGATCTTCATCTAGACAAGAGCAAAGGAGAATTATTAGAAAGCAGCACAAGAAACCACTGATCTCAGCACTTCCTATGGCAAAGGCCATCTCCTGCACCAGGGCTTCACCCCGGTTTAGAAGGGCTATTGCACATCCCCCCACCTTTCCCCATGCCAAATCTCTTACCACGCTGAGAGAAACCACAGAGGCAGATACCCAAATAGACGGGAGGGAGGCAGGAGGCTGAGAGGTCCCAAGTACCTCTGCCTTTTTGCCCCAGCACACACGGTGCCATCACCCAACACCGGTGCCCAGCAGTCAGGAGGAGCTGCTGGCGCGTCCCTCAAGAGGGACCAGTGCTGCCAAGGAGGAAAAGAAAGCTTCCACATCTAATGCCAGCCCACGTGTTTGCACGCTCTGGACAACAGAGACATCGGTGATCAGGGCTGCATTTTTGGGAGGACATCCTGACAAAAAGCTATTTAAGCTAGATAAAAACAGAGCTTAATACCAGAAGTGAGAAGAATGGAAGCAGCTAAAGGAGGGATGGTAACAGGCAGCAGCAGAGAGGGAAACTGTCTTGAAACCAGTTGTATTCTCAATAACGACCTTTGCACAGTAACTGGGAGACTGAGAAATGAAGATGACTCAAACATGGGAGTTCATCAGGGAAAACCAGAATTTGATGGGTCATGAAGAAAACTGGAGAGCAAGAACACCAGAAACGGGATGATGCTGAAGATCAATCCTTGCTCTAAGAGAAGTTCATCACCTGTGATTAACTGAGAAAGAACATTTGGGATTGGCTACAGGACTGTAATCATCATTAGGGCGCTGCTTAAATAAACTGGGAACAAAGCAAGGTATTTCCTCTGGAAACAGGGACTGCCTGGCTCCATCCTCCCTGTAACACCCAGCAGGTAATGGAAGGCAGCAAGTGGACTCCCCCCTTGTCTCCTCCAGGCTGAGCAAAGCAGCTCCCTTCATTTCACCTCCTCTGCCATTCCCTCCAGCCCCAGGAGCACTGGACTTGCTCCAGTTTCTCTGCACCCATCCTGCAGCAGGACACCCAAATCCAGACACGACAACTCCAGCTGACCTCTTCCAAGTCAAAAGGAAAAGCTGAGGGAAGGAGTTGATCTCCCGCAGCCTTGCACACCCTCATCATCACCCACCCCTCTGCTCAGATCCGGTCACAGGTCATCTCAGCAGGTGGAAAGGGGATTCAGACTGTTCACACCAGCAAAAATGAAGGTTGAGATAAGCAGAACAGCTCTTTGTAAGCACACCAAGGAGCAAAGAACTGCTGATGCCAGCACACAGCAGACAAACAAGGAGGATACGCCTGCCAGGAATAAATTTAAGCCAAAAGTAGGGAGCTATCTAGCCAACGTGGATCAAGGTTTAGGAGCAGCTGCCTAAAAGGGTGCTGTGATCCCTTTACTTCTAACACCATTTAAAACTGAGCTAACAGGGCTATGAACAGAATTAAAAGGGCACGGTTGCTTGTGACAGGAAGCTTGAATAAAACCCAGGTAACAGTGAGTACCCAACACAGCCTCTGCACTGCAAATGTGCACGGTGGAGCTGCGTGCTGCTCTGGATGTACCTTGGACACAGGCTGGGTCCATTCCCCGTGCTCCCAGGAGAAGGCAGGATGGAAATAGCAGAGGGCAACCAGCTGCCCCTTTCCTCATTCCCTACCAGAGCCGCTCTGACCTTCTCCAGATGACACACAGGGAGAGGAATGACTGTATTTCAGAGAAAAAAGGGTTGGAATAAAATAGCCCTGAAGATCAGAGCATCCCAGTTGCTGTTCCCTGAATTTCTCACCCCTGCCGCTGCCCTAGATGCTCCCTGATCCGAGCCAGGCAGCGGAGCGGGCAGTGGCCGCTCACAATGTGGTGTCTGTACTGCGGGGACGAGCCACGCTGCCAGGCACAAAGGTCACGAGGGTGGAGGTGCCCAGGGCTCCCGGGAGCTCAGAAGCTACCCCAGCCCCAGACACTGCGCACAGGACGCTTACCAGCGCTGGCAGCCCTGCTGAGGGCAAGAAGTTCTGGCTAAACACGGAAAATGAAGCGGAGAGGAGATATCTGCCTTGTTTTTAGAATTTAAGTTTGGGAGATGAACTGCGTTTTCCTGGTTTTCTGCTATCAGGAGGAGATCTCTGAGAAAAATGACTGTGAGTCCAATGTGGTCCAAAGCAGCGTGCAGTGCAAGGGGAGAAAACAGCCTCACCAGGGAGCAAAACCAAAGAGTAGAAAGCAGCGGAAAGGATCAGGAGGCAGCTCCCATGCAGTGCCCAGAGCCAACACGGCAACAGCCCAGGCTAAGCCCTGAACCCAAGCAGCTCCCCTTGCCCACAGCCAACTCAACTGGGCCATGCTCGCTCCCCAGAGCCAGGCTGGGTGTCCTGCAGGACGCTCTGTGACCAGCGTGTGTCAGGGACCGGCTGCAGAGAGGCCACAAGGCCATAGGAGGCAATGTGGAAGCCATTCAAAATGAGCAATCATTAACCACAGCAGTGCCAGCCCCACACACCCAGGGCCCAGGCTGGGGGAAGAGCTCATAACAAGACAATTTGCTGCTTCAGCAACACCTCTGGTGGGGACAACACAGCCTGTGCTGACACCAGGCAGTCCTGTTTGGCAGGAGTGCACTGCGGTGCAAGATCCAAGATTCCCCCCCAAAAACCACGCTGGTTTGCTCTATGGTAGCATCCAACCCCGTTACCGAGGAGCAGGAAGAGCCCCATGGTTGCTCTGCAATAAAGCACTTGGGCACACCCAGGGAAAGCAAACACAGGGGGAAGAACCGGGCGCTGGCACAGGCTCTGCTCGGGCAACCTGCACACCCCTGGGCACACAGAGAGCCCCAAAACCCAGAGCCCTAAACCTGCTGAGAGCCCTGGCATCACTCGGGTTCCCCACGCACGAGGCTGATTCAGGGGAAGCACAAAGCAGCTCTGCTTGGTCCAACAGGAGATGGGGGGTGACTTACTCTGGCAAAACTAGGGGACACATGGGGCAACACAGCGGCCTCAGAAACCCCCTGAGCAGCTGTGCATAGGGAACACGGGCAGCTTGGCCTCAGGAGCTACCTAAAAATTAAGATCAAGAACCCACTAACAGCACAGACAACACATTTGCACAGCCAGCAGCACCCTGCCAGACCATGAAGGCTTTTATGGAAACACAAAAGGTGACAGGGGTGATTTTCTTTAGAAGAAAACTATCCCAGAAGAGCCAAGCACACTGGAGCCCCATCAGAGGGCTCTGCTCATCACATCTCAGCAGTGGTGCTCCCAGTTCTGCCTCAGCAGCAGCTGCAAATTGTGGAAAGGAAGAATTCTGCACCCTTCAGCTGTGGATGTTTGCAGGTGTTTGTCAGTACTTGCTCAGCTGAATGCTTCACCCAGAACCGTGTCACCAAACCAGGGTCCAACCCAAACCCATGTATCTATGAATTAATGCTCTGCCCGGCACTCAGAGCCACACTGGGAAAAACTAAAGCAGGCTTTTCGGGGAATATTGTGCTGTTCAAGCACCAGATCCTTGTCGCCATAGCAAAAATCATTTATTTATTCACTAGAATTTGAACAGTAATGAGTAATAGAGTACCCAGGAAAGGGAAGCCAGGGTAAACATTGCCCAACAAGCGTAAATCTGAGTAGTCATACATGGCTCACTCAAAAAAGGAAAACCAAAACGTCAACCTTGTGTCAGGGGCTGTCAGGACCCAGCCTGCATCCAGCCCAACAGCGAAAGAGCCCCCGTGGCCAGAGAACAGAAACACAAATAACCACAGAAACCAACCTGTGACACGAAGAGCGGAAAGGCAGCGACTCTGCTGACTCTAAAAGCCGAGCTGGGAAAGTCTGCAAGACTCCAGAGTGAGTGAGGAGCGCAGGCACCCACAGCTTCTCACAAACCAGGGATGTATCACTAAGTCCCAGGAGCAAACCATGGGGCTGATCTGCATCCTCGGCTCCAGAAGCAATCTCTTCACTGCGGCTTTTCTCTTCTCCACCCACTGCCACATTTGCTTCTTGGCAGGTGTGGCAAAACCAAAGTAGCCTTTTAAACAGGCACCTCTTTAGAAAACCAAATCCTCCCCTTATGATAGTATGAAAAAAATAATTGTTCTAGGTATTAAAGAAAAAAAAAAATCACTCTAACTATATTCTAGCAAGGAGAGTCAGAGGAATCATATTGATCCCCACCATAGCCTCCTATGATGGGACTGAAAATGTGTGAGCCCGTTTTCCATTCCCACAGCCACATCCCAAACCCGTGGCTCTCGCAGGAGGCTGCAAGGGGCACGGCTGCCATCCGAGCTCCTCCGGATGGGATGGCAACTGGTGCAGCACAAGCCGCAGCGTGTTCCTGCCCCTGTCAGCATCACACGGTGTCCCCAGCACATCCAAACCCACCTCACCGCTGCTGCCGAGAGCGGACAGCAGGGCAGCGGCTGCTGCGTGGTGACAAGAGGCACGCAGCCACTTTTCAGCACTGCGGTTATGCTACCCAAGTATTTCACAAGATTCAAACAGCCGACTAGCACCTGGAATCAAGATTTGCTCTCTTCAGGTGCTAATTTTCCTCTACCCATCCTCTCTCCCCAAGCAATATAATCCTGAAGTGACAAAATCGGTGGCTGCGCTGACTCCCCAGGACACGCCACGGCCGGAGGTGCTGCTGGGTGCGACCGAAGCAGCTGGTTTGACAGCTTCCACACCCCAGCACCCAAATGCTGCCTCCTTTCTCAGCCGCAGCAGCAGCAGGGTTTGGGCTGGTATCTGCAGGAAGGGCAGACAGCACCGCAGCATCAACACCAGAGAGCGAGCGATTGAAATCTTGGACAGAACACACACAAAAAACAGCGCTGTGAAGAAAAATCACCTTGGGCTTCGGTGCGGCCTTACATGGAGCTTTTAACTGCACTGGTTATCTAAAGATTGGCTCAAGGAGAGAAATGCACCAGCGATCACACCAGATACCGGCAGCAGAGCACTGGGGTGTGCCAG